GAAATTTTCAGTCTCCTTTTCTCATCTCTGCTATAGACCTAAATAGACCATAAGTCTATTTTGCCACCTTCTGTACCTGTAGCAAATACAAGGGCAAAAAAATCACACAACAAATGACAAGCTTTTGGCTCACAGGATTAAATTACCACCTTTCTTAGGTGTCAAAAGTGAAAGAAAGGAGAACCTCTTTGCTCTTACAAAGCATTGCAATCTGTTGTAACTCTACTAAGGACTAAATTTAAGACACTATAAAGACAAGATGCATTATTTTAGGTTGGCCTTGAATACATTTTTTTTTCCTTTTCTCATTTTTTTTTTTTTACACAAATCAAACATGTATTTCCAGAATAAAGATAATAATTTCCAGTCAAGCTCAAAGGATGTCTACTCTCAACTGCAAAATAAAACAAGAGTTTGGATCTCATTAGTAAAGTATGTAACTAGCCTTATATCTGACAACAAAGAGTTTAACCAATTATCTGCAATGTTACTTTTTGAAGTAAGAAATGATTTACGGAAGTGTGCCATGGCTCCGCACACCACTGCGCTGGCAAAATACAATACCACAGGACTGGTAATACAAGATGTGCCTGGCAGTCTTTTCATAATTTTTGTACTTAATTCATCTCCAAACAGAAGTTTAATCTCAGGTAAGCTGTTGGGAAGGAGATCAGAACCGCACCAGGCTGGTAAGTCAGAACCACAGCCCCACCACAACAATTTCCTATGTCTATTCAATCTTCTCAATCAAAATGGCATTTTTGTCTTACCACAGTTTTCTGAATTTAATTTCAGGAATTTAGTACCATGTGCAGCACATAGCATTCTTACACATTCAAAATACTAGGAAAGTAGGGCAGGAGTTACTTGCTTTGTCCTAAGGATCATCTACAGCTTGGTACCAAACTTCCATTAAGTCAGGCATTGAGCAAAACCAACCTCCTGTTCTCGCTGCCGTGGTAAGCCTGGAAGAGAATCAGGCCTAGTAATACGAATTAGTCATTCATACAGCTTACCAAAACATCATCTCTTTTTAGAAGGAATTAATTCTATTGATCTTTGGTAAAAAGTGACTGGCTGAAGCAAAATGGCCTGCATAAAGGGTAAGATAAATTAAAGAAGGGAGAATTAGTGGAGCACTGGATGGGAAATCTAAGAGGTTACCAGAAGTGTCAGGATCAAGGAAAGACTGAAAACCTGAAAAATCACACCTAGTTTAAAGTCTAAACTAAAGGCTGGCGCATACTGAACAATTTGCAAGCTTGCCTCTAGAATGGCTGGGGAATACACAACCCATGCTAAATTCAAGGCAAGTTCAGGACACAGCATCGTTTGGGATCAGGCCCTTTATTGTTGCTTCTGATATGCTCTGCATTTCAGAATCAACCAGGGAGTATAAGGAAGATCATCTTCCACTGGGCAAAGGTAGCAAGTGAACTTTCTTCTTCACCAAGGGATTGCAGTTTTCTTGAAAGAAGAACGTTTTCAATTATTCAAAAACTGGCATAGCAAACCACACCACGATCCGAGACCCTGCAGCTTTCTGAACTCAGCAAGTTCCTTCAGCTCCTGGCAGCACAGTGTGAGCAAAGTCTAGATCCAAGATTACTAACTTCATAACTTCTGGATTTGTCAGAGAGTGTTCTCCCCAGAGCAGCTATGCTGCATGTAGGACACAATTGTATAGAACAATTTGTAAAAGTACAGGAAATTCCTAAGTGTCACTTCAGAGGCCACAAAAACCATATGCAGCCAGGACTGAAAAGAACTGTGTGCCTTGCTGTATGTGCAAGAGAAGGCAGAAACACTGCTGAACAACTCGGGCACCAGGACCAAAAGGTATCAGGGAATGGTTTAAGGATCATTAGGTTCCTCAAGCTGCAAGGAGCAGCAAGGAATAGAGAACCTGGGAGCATGGACATTAATTACTCACCAAACATAAGCACTACCTGCCCCCCCCCCCCCCCACCGTCCT